TTGTCATTCTTATTTCCTTGAACCACAGATGTGTTTTTTTTTTCTTTCTTTCTTTTCTTTTCTTTTTTTTTTTTTTTTACCTCTGGATTCTCTGTTTTGTTGGTAGACTTGTCTGTTTTTATGCCAGCAGTTACTAACTTGATTATTATAAGTTTGCATTGTATTTTGAAATCAGGAAGTATTGTACTTTGGTATTTTTTTTCTCAAGATTCCTTTGGGTATTTAAAGTTTTGTATTTCCATTTGAGTGTAAAGATTGCTTTTTCTATCAATATAAAGAAAACCACTAGGATATTGACAGGGATTATACTGAATCTGTAGGTCACTGTATGTGTGGCACTTTGGTATGAAAGGGTAGGTTTGACGACAAAGCATGGATATGGTGTCTGGACTATCTCCAGGTGTCTGCATGAATCCCAGGCTGGGGTAGAGTCGGGTGTGGGGAAAGGAGATTAGGACTAGCGTGAAGCCATGAGCATATCCTCTTCAACTGCAATGGCATCTGGTCAGAGCATAAGGAATTTGAAAAATTTGAGTTCCAGTGCAGGTCATTGCACAGATACAGTTATCAAGATAAGAGATGAAACTGATTTTGAGGAAAAGTTTGACTGGTGTAGATTATCTGTGAGTTCCTAAATAGATTGTGTAATTTACCTATCTGTTAGGTCTGTTGCTTATTATCTCTCCCCTTCACCAGAATATAAGTTCCATGAGGGTGAGGTGTCAGTTATATTTATTGATAACGTCCAGAAAACCCACAATACCTAATAAGTATTCAGGAAGAATTTATTGAATTAAATGAAGGAAACCAGCACCTGACTTCCCCCAATACTTCATTCTTCTTTATTCTCCAATAAACACTCTGGATGAGAGGTTCACTCTAAAATGGATACAAAAATAGTATCTGGACTGGATCAGCAAGTCATCTGGACAAGTCATGAGCCTGTGGGTTGAAGCATAAAGAGTTTTAATGGAGGTTACACCTCTGAGCTTGCTCATGCTGATCCAGTCCTTATTGGCCATATTCAGATTAAAAAGTGTCGGCAGTACTCATTCTTGTGGTTTCTCAAAGAGCAGTATATCATCCAGGAAAGAAATATGTGCATATTTTCAAAAGTCACACCTGACAAGTAAACTGCAGGTAAGTGTTCTTTATTATAAAGAACAGATTTTAATGGGAATTACTCATCTTGAATGTTCTCATAGTTGAGGAAAGATATTGGTCAGAGTTTTTCAACTAAAGTTTGATCTGTTTATTGTTTTCCATTTGAAGAACAAAATGATGTCTCAACAAAGGCCAACGAAGCTGAACCTACTCAATGAATACATGCAAAGCAAAACTGTGAGGATTCTGCTGCTTGAGGAAGGTGCAGCCGGAGTACTGTCTCTGAGGTCCGTACGCTCTCGTTTCTCTGGGTCTCTGAGCTTCTACTCCTGCCTCAACTGCTCTCAAGTGAGCTAGCCCATGCAAGCCTCCTAGAAGAGATCAGGTCCTACCAGGGAAGCCAAACTGCCATGAATATGTTAAATAAGAAATTTATTATAAGAATGGGTCTTCACTTTTTTTATGGGGAGGAGGGAGGTCAACCTGGAGTAGGAAGCATCCAAAAACCAAGTTGAAGCATCAGAGACCAGCCCTGATCAGGCAAAGCAGGCCACACTGTCCGGGAAATCAAAGCAAAGCATAGTCAGTGATTGTAGTGGGAGCAGGGAGAGGGAGGGTGGAAACGGGCGCATTGTTGTGGCCCTTCATGAGCATCACTTCGGTAAGAAGCTGCGGAAGCTCAGCTGGCCTGCAATCACAGTTCTTCAACAGAGAGCAACACTGAGCAAGGAAGAGTTTGAACTGAAGAAACCCCTTGCAACTCCTCTTACTGGGTAGAAATGGCGTTTGTCATTTGCCACTTCTAACCAGTGGAACTCTCAGAATGCAATGAGTGCTGTTTTGCTTTTGCCTCCCAAATCTCCAGCAACTTCAGTTTTGTTCATCTGGACAAATACAGACCTATAAGCCCCCAGGAAAATGGGTGGGGGGATATAGTGTGAAGCATAATCAAGTTGGTTGGGCTGCAGAGCATGGAACTTATTTCTCTAGTATCAGTCCAAGGCGTCAGGTGACCCAACCTGGAAGCTGGGAGAACTACCACTGAGGTAAATTTGAAACAGCAGGCAACAGCTTGCAGGCAGATATTCTATATGATCCTACTTTTGATAAGCTATTTCTGAATTTAATTGTCTGTAAAACCTGTTCACAGGTACTTTACTTGGCTACTTGACAGGTAGTGTCTCACATTGATGAAGCATATGCTAGGTTGGTGAAAAATCCCTGTGTATTTGCTGCTTGCCTTCATCCCTCCCCTTTTTTCCCACTTTTTCCCCTTGCATCTTGCAATGCAAGAGTAACTTCTAAGAAATATCACCTAAGATAATACACATTTAAAATTACAATGAAAATGAGGTGTGAATTGTGTGATTACCGATGGGGACTGTGACTGCACATGAGGCTCGGGTCATTTGCATGGAATTCTAACATGAACATTACCTCATGTTTTGAGGACATCATATTCTCTCTTCACTGGAAAAGTCCACAAGCAATTATTTCCCTCGGAGACAAATAAAAAAGGTAGATCAGGGGAGTAGAGACTCTTCTGGCCAAGACATGACTTCAGAACGAAAGGCCTCAGCAGGAATATACACTTCATCAATACATTACTCTCTGGCACTTTGCTGCGCAATAACCCTGCCGTAGCTCAGTATCGTGTTGCAAAGCTGGTTATTCATCCTTAGGTGTCTACCTGAGGCACAACTTTCAAAACATTGTAGCACACAGAGCCTTGATCGGTCCTGCTGTTGCTAACCCGTTCATTTCCTCAGAGGCTTGGGTGTAGTGTCATTACAAATCCTACCGATCCATCAATGGGACAGTTGCAGTCCTCCTCATACACAACGTTTAAAACCTGCTTTTATTTTATTTTATTTTATTTTATTTTATTTTATTTTTATTGGTTACATTGTATTATGAGATACAGTTCCATAGGTACTGGGATTCTCCCCACCCCTCCCCCCATGGTGGACTCCTCCACCCTGTTGTGAGACCTCAGTTCAAGATCAGTTGAGACACCTTCACCGCAAGCATATACCAAGCATAGAGTCCAGCATCTTATTATCCAGATAAGTTCATCCGCTTCTTGGGGAGACCTTCCCTGGTCTGAAGGTAGGGCCAAGAGAGCAAGATCCCGATCAATTAAAAGCCCCAGCAGCAACAATATATATCGTTATGGAATTAATTGACATAGTATTGAGTAAACAATATGTTAAAATTACATGTAAGTTCTTAACAACCTCCTGCGACTATTTCAATGACATTTTAACAATTGAGGTGCATAACAGGTTTGGGGGGAGTTGCAGAGAAATCTCTCATACCTTGGTGATGAGTACTTGTTCTTTGTGTTCTATCTAGCAGGGTATGTGTGAGTCCTTGATGACCTATCTTTCTTTATTGTTCTCTGCTTATCTATTCCTATTTGTGTGTGTATGTGAGTGAGTGTGTGTGTGTGTGTGTGTGTGTGTGTGTGTGTGTGTGTGTGTGTGTGTGTTGGGGGGTAGGGGGTTCTGGAGCAACCTTGTTGGTCATTATAGAGGGTGGAGGCCCAGAGCTGGAACTAGGTAAGGACTGGAGAAGGCTCCTCTCCCATGTCCCGAAGGAAGTTTATTGTTCTTCTGATTCTGATGACTGATCGTGGTTCCTGGCTGTTGTTCTGATGACGTTGGTTCCTATGTGGAAGGACTCGGGCTTCTTTCATCTCGTGTAGTTTGTCCAAAGAGGGGGGATGTCTGTCCTCTGGGTTCTCGGCCTCCGAAGGCATTCCAGTTCCCCGTGTTCTCTTTGGCAGTTGTGATGACGTCCTTGGTGCCCGTTCTGATAGACCTTGGTGGGAGTCCGGGAGTCCTTATGATTGGGATACAAGCCTCCTCCTGTCCTGCTGCTCCGCTCTGGGGTTCTCCCCTATTCTGTGCATATGACCCCCTGATAATAGATTATTAGGGTCGCTCCTGATTCCCCCTGTATGTCTTTGTAGTTTTTACTATTGTCTAATGCTGTTCTGAATCTATCGGCTATAAGATACCTGTCCAGTTCCTGTAGGTTACACTACACGGCTTCCTAACTTTTTCAAAGGAGATGAGAGATTTCTCTGTGCTCCCACCCAGTTATTGTGTATCACAAGGAATTGGGAGTGTATTGTAAAACCTGCTTTTAAAAAGAACAAAACTGTAGACTAGAGCGAAATATCCTTCATATAAAGTTAAGAAGTAGACAGTGCTAGTTCCCCTCCCTTCCCGCCCTCATTCCCATAGGTTAACGGCTTAGGGAAGGAATTAGGGATCGCAGTGTGGCACAGCGTGCAATTTGTGTTATTTTTGTCCCAGGGTAGTATGACAGAAGGCAACTACATATGTAAAACAGTGCCTGTGGTTGGCCCTATTTCACAGATTAGGATTCTGTCAGCACAAAGAACAGGGAACTGCCTTCTCGGCCACCTTGGAGGATACGAACACTTTTCTCTTTATGAAAGCACTTTCCCATTCATATGCCCTCAGGACTCCACCACGCCCCTGCATCTTTTTGCTGCAGTTCCTAACAAGCCTAATTGTTTTTTTCCCTTCCCTCCTCCTCCCAGAGGGTGATGACAGCAATGTCTGGAAATATTGACATGCCCCCAGTCACCTGCTTTGTAGAAGAAACATGCGTGCAATATTTCAATTGCCTCTGTTCCTTCCAGCCAATGTCTCTTGGTGTTACAGTACATACAGGCCACGGCCAGGTTTAATGTTCGAGAATTTAAGAGGTCGTCGGGTCATCCCGCACTAGGGCTGGTGTTGCTCTGCTTGCCCCAAGGCTTGAAGCAGGCGGCCCTTTCCCAGAAGCTAAGCTTGTCTCGGATCCCGGGAAGTTCTCGCCAGGAGCAGGCACAAGCAAGCCGCGTGTGCAGAGTGAATCACGGCCTCGGAAGGGCGCCCGGGGACAAGGGCTCGCCAGCGCCCCGGGCAGGCCTTCAGAATCCACTTTCCCTCGGACCCGAGCGCCGCCGGAGTCACACGGGGTGACTCCTCCTCCGGAGCCCGCCTACACCAGAGAGGGCAGGTGGGGGTGCCACTACGGCTTAGGCCCGCTGCTGCCAGGGAAGGGTCCCCAGGCCGGGTGATCTCGGGATGCGAGGGGTACCCAAGGAGGCGAGGCCACCGACCATCCAGGGTATCGGGACCCTGAGCGGTTGGGGGGCGCGGTGCGCCTAGAGTCCCCTCTCGCCGCTCGATCTGAGGTAAAGGTCCCGGCGGGTCGGCGTCCCCAGGAGGACCCGCTGCTCCCTCCCGCCAGGCCGGCGAGCAGGAGCCGGGGGCGGGGAGCCCGGAGCACCGCCCCGCCGGCGCGCCCCGCCCGTGGGAGAGGAGGGGCTGCGGCGCGCGGACCACTGGAGGCGCAGAGCCGCCGCCGCTGTGGGTGCCGGAGACCGCGGCTCGGAGCAGCGGAGCCCGTGCCACCGCTCGGCGGCCAGCCCGCGTGCCCGGCAGCCGGCCCGCGCCATCTCCCGCCGCCCGCCGCAGGAGCCGCGGCGCCGCTGCTCGCCCTCCGGGTAGGTGTCCCAGCAGCAGAGACAAGCTGCCTGGGGGGTGGGTGGACACCGCCGTGCCCGCACCGCGGCCCGGGTATTGTGCGCGTCCGGCGGGCCGGAGGACCCCAGGGACGTGAGGCGAGACAGCCGCGGCCTCCGCCCCCGAGGAATCACAGCCCTGGGAGGCTCACTCGGCGGTAAGCAAGGCGGCCCGGCGGTGTCAGCCGGTTCCCGCCGCCGGGGTGGGAAGGGGCGCTTGCGTCCAGGTCTCCACTGATCGCCCGCCCTCCTTCCGAGGCTCGCTGCCGGAAGATTCCGGCCACCTGGTCCGGGCGCCCGCATCCACCGCGCTGCCCCAGCACTTGGCACCCCCAGCACCCTCAGACTTGCTTGAGGGGAGTGAAGCTTGGGGGCAGCGACATGGACTGATGTAATTGTCAGCGGAGAGCTGATCCGGCGCGGTGGGTGCGCGCCCGCGCGCGCTAACGCCTACGCCGCACCTCTCAGGGAATCCGGGCAGCCTGGAGGAGCGGCCGGGGAAGTTGTGCATTGGGGTGTATTGTGCGCGTGCACTGCGGACTGCCCTGGCGGACACCCCTGCAACGCTCCCCGCAGTCTCTGTCCACGCCCGGCCGGGCGGAGAGTCCGCCTTCCGCGGTGCAGGTCGGATCAGGGTTTGGCAATGCGGTCGAGACGTGTTTTCCCTGCATTGAGCCCAAGCTCGCCGGGGATGCTGGGGAAAGAGGGATGAGAAACCTGGGGAGGAAGCCAGGGAGAACTAATGACACCAGCAGATTTTTTTTTTAAAGCCTGTACAGTATGTAGACACGCCTGCAGGACACGTTTTTAAGCCGGGCTTGAAAGTTATGACCAGATACTGATTATGTGGCAATTCTGTGATATACCGAAATGGTTGCTTAAACTAGCTCTATAAAGCTAGGGGAAACATTACATAATGGACGTGAAGCAAATGACACGAAACTAAGTGACCCCACTGGATTGCCGGATTATTTCCCTCTCTGGACACAAAGCCCTATAAACCTTTCTGCTTCGTATGAATATCCATTTTTGAAATCAGCGAGGAATAGCACATTGTGTACTATGTTTGTCTCTGATTTTTTTTCCCCCAACTACAAAGCCATCTTTTTTTTAAAAAAATATCTTTTCTTGCATTTAGAAATTGTCTGCTATTCGATAGTTACTACCCTAGAACTCATGAACTAATGTAGTCTTCCATGGTAAAATTAAGCAATTTCCCCATCTTAATTTCTTGAACTTTGCTTTTTCTTCTTACTTCGTTATTGCTGCTGTTCTATTTTCCTTTTTTTTTTTTTTTGAAGCAGTTTGGGGAGGTACTGCAAGCTCCTAATGTTGCTATTCCCACTGAATGTTACAGCATTGCAGATACAAAGACTAATAATAAACGAAAGGGAAAACCTCCCAGTAACTCTGAGAGGGAGCAGGCTTCCCAAGGTCGAAGGAAGTCTGCAATGGAACTCAGCTATAATCACCTAGAGAGAATGTGCATGACTCCAGTGGGCTATGAGGAAGGCCCAATTGGTGGAAGGTACCTCCTTCTTTATACTTTTGCACCAAAATTCCATTGGTTTTTCTCTGAAGAGTGATTTTACCAAGAAATTCTTTTAAAAATGATTTTCAAAAGGAAATATTGGGAGATAAAAATTCTACGCCTTGTGCCTAGAAATCCTAGTTTAGCTAGTCTTTTCGGCTGTGCTGTTGATAACTCAGTTATGCATTGTCCTGTCTTGGGGAAACCTGAGTTTCCAGTCATGGTGATTTATCAGCTGTCCGTTGGCTTCTATATGCTGTTCTGTTGGCCTTAGACAGGATCACATACTGTTTCTCATCCCCGCATTGCTTGAATGTTTGTTAGCTTGAGTCCAAGAAGAACAAGTAAGTCCTTCCAGGGTGCAGTGTTTGTGAGTGAAGGTCTCTTAATACTGTTCAAAGTGAACATGTGACTGAAAACTCTTAAATTAGAAGACTTCCATTTTATCAGAATTCCTTCCTGGCATTCAGTAGTCATTCAACTGAACACCTTCGGTGTTAGAGCATTGTTCTAGGCGTGATGGGAGGTGCAAAAAAGAGTACTTCAAGAGTTTGTAGTCTAGTTTGAAGAGATCAGGCATTTTAATGTATGAATTCTTAGAAGAGGATTTTTTTTAAATCCTTGAAAAAGACTGTTCATGACTGGGAATTTTTTTCTTTTTTCATACTCAACATTATCAGGATTCATTTACATCGTACATAGCTGAAGTTCATTGACTTTTACTGCTGTGCAATATTCCTTTATATATGCTACAGTACAGTGGGCCTCCCTCTTTGACCAGTGTTTTTGATTTTATCGGACATTGCGAACACCATCGTTCCAGTTACTTATGTTTCGTGGGGGCAAGTGTGCAAGTGTTTTTCTTGGGTAAAGACTAAGGGATGGAACTGTTGATTTGTAGGATTCTGTGAATAGTTAACTTACTCAGCACTGTGAGATTATACTCCCAAACAGTTGTACTATTTTGATCAAGCTAGGGAAACAAGCAAGCATAGATGACCAAACAAATGAGTACTTTTTTTTTATGCATGCTTGTGATGAAATGCATGTTTGCTTGTGTTTTAGCATGAAAACGATGAACCTAACACTTGGGATGACAATTGTGTTTTTGAGGATGAGGAGGATGGCGTGTGAAGGGGCACATAGGGGCATAACAGCTATTGCTGGTCATCTAGTACTTGAGTTTAGGATGAGTTTGTAGCTAATCATTATGTTAAAGAAAAAGAGGATCACATATGAGCCAATGATGAGCAAGGTCCAAGAAAAAGGAAAATAAGAAGAGCAGTCACAAGACCCAGAGGCTGTCAGTTTGAGCAAGGGTGAAGAAACAGGCCTTGCCACTCTGAGAAGTCCCCAGCCCATGGGAGAGATGTGCCCTAGAATGAGCAGGAATTGGCCTCAGTAAGAGGAAGGCATTCCCTCCTGCTGCCTTTGGTAAGCACAAAGAGGGCTTGGTTCACTAATTCCAGCAGCATTCCTGCTGAGAAATGCTAGGAACAGAAGGGGAGGGAGCAGTGTGAAATTCCCTAGCAGCGAACTACTCAGTGTTTACAAAGCCGGGCTGGGGAATGGGTGAGTTGGGGTAGGAAGATCTAAGGCAAGGCCCATAGGAGGGAGGTATCAATGATCCAAATACTCAAGTTTGGAAAAAATGAAATGGGAAGAATATTTTAAAAACATGCTGGGTGAAGAATCCAAGTTTAGCATCCTAGATGAGAAGAGTCAAATAAGTTTGACTGCAATGAGAAGAAAGAGTGGAAACTTTTAGTGTCGTTTATAAAGAGCACGCATGCAGTAGTAGATATACAAGGACATCTTTGGGTTTTGAGATGGTGAGCAGTTTGGACTCGCGTATTGAGCTTATGTCTGGATAAATTTGGGATCGTATATGAGTTATTTGTATTTGCAGCATACTAGTATAAATGAGATAAATAGTATTTAGATGTATGTCCTGAGAGAATGTTTTACCATTGACTGAGGTCATTGAGAAAGTGCCAAGCTTAAATCAGAGGGCTCAGAATTAATTCCCATTGGCAGTTTACTGGCAGTGTGTGAGTTTGGTGGGGAGGGGGATAACTTCTGCTCTCAGTCATCATATATTTAGTAAGAAGAGATTAATAGCCTTGTTGCAGGGACGCAAGGAAGGAGATGGGTAAAGGGACTAGAACTTAGAGGGGTAATATCTGCTTCATAGTCCTTCCCACTGAATGATTCACCTTTTAGTCTCTCACATACACGCCCTTGAGAGAGATGAAAGGATCGTTCATTACAAGGAAGAGTTGCTCATGCTTTCAGAGAGAACCAGGCCAGGGGCTTTTATATCTGAGGTTACTCTGCAGTATTAAAGTGTGTCCTTCCATTCAATGTCATTTAAACTGTTTTGCAAATATTGTAAACTTTCAGAACTTTTATTTTAAAACTCATTTTCTGATTTTACTTATGCTTCCTGACGTCTTTGATTACTGCTGACTTTTTCTCCACACCAGTTTTCCATTTGCAGATACAGTTAGTGGTTGCTGCACAGTTTTCTCTCATAGACTAGTTCTTGCCTTTTCCTGGTATAGTGATTTGGAGAACATTTTGCTGGGAGTTCCAAAAGCAGTCAATCAGTATATTCAAACAAGTCACATCTCAAGGAAGTGAAAAGCCTGTGATTTACTGATAAAGTCACAAGAGTTAAGTAAGGAGTCTATAACCTCCATTTTTAAAAACGTTTCTCTTATTTTTATGTGAAAGGCAGGGTAAGGGAAAGAGAATGAGAGAGGAAGAGAGAAAGAGAGAGGAAGAGAGAGAGCGTGAACTTTCACTGTTGCAGACACCTGCAGTGACTGGGCCTGAGCCTGACACTCAATCCAAGTTTCCCCCGTGGGTAGCAGGCACTCACTTGAGCCGTAATACTGTCTGTCAAGGCTGGAGTCAGGAGCCAGCACTGTGCGTTGAAATCAAGATGTGGAATATAGACATGGTTATTTGTTTATTTAACAGTTATTTAAATAAAGTTTTAATTTATTGTCCCTTTTTTTAAAGTAGAGAAAGATTTTAACTCAGGTTAAGTCCAGTTGTCATGAAGACAGCTAAATATTATCTTAAAAGCCATATAGAGGTTATGGAAAGGGTAGTTGAATAGTGAATATAGATTTGTTAGGACTGGGATATGACCATATTGTTAATTGATTTTTAAAGCAAAAATCAGGAAATAGTCAAAGATGTTACTAATCAAGATGGTATAGAGAATATGTTATGATGGTCTCTGGCTGGAGTTCCTCATGGGTTAGATGAACCCATTCTCTTGTGAATTTGTGTATACTTACTTTGTGTGTTTATATTAATATCAATCATATAAATTATTATGTTGATGAGATAGCAAATCATTGGGAGCAGAAAAATCCAATGATTTTTTTTGCCAGGTTACTTGAGCCTGAAAACGAGCCTGTGCTAGGGAGTCCTCTATTGCAGGACTGTGTCCCCAGAAAGTTAAGTTGACAGAAGACATCAGGAAAGGAGACCAAAGCAAAGTAGCTTAGTATCCAGGACTATTTAAGGGGTGATTGAGTTCAGTCATTATATATGTTATTGACCCCTTAAAGCTAAACCAAGTTTCTCTTCTCTCTTTTGACTTATTTATTTTTGAAAGACAGCTAGATGGATGTATTTCTTCTGTGTGCTGGTTCCCCAAATACCCCACACGAGTAGGGCTGGAACAGGCAGTGGGATCCCAGTACTTGAGCTGTCACTTGCTGCCTCCCAGGTTAGCAGGAAGCTGGAAGCTGAA